AAAGCAAGAATTGTAAAGTACTTTCCAAGTATGTAGTTGCTTCTTAAGTAAGATTATTGGCTATTTATATCTCTAATACTTCTTCGGTCGAGGTCATATCAGTTGTCTTATCAATCAATGGTCAAGAATTTAGAGAATACATCACAATTACCCTTTCTTTGTCTAAGGCCCCCCCAAAATAGTTCTGCTTCCAATTACATGGCATTTGAAAATAGGGTGAGTAGGTGGGATTTTTTTTTGTGTACGATCATATGGAGGCGTCTGCGTGTTGTCAAGGGTAAAAGGTAGAAATTGATGGTTTTTGAAGTTTTTTCCCTCATTTTCCAATAAAACAATTAGGGTAGGGGCTGTCAGAATAAGGTAGGTAGGGAAACCGGAAGCAAAACTATTTTTTGGCCTAAGTAAGACCATTTTGTTTCTTAATTTTGTTTACCTACCTCATCAAAGAGATATTGGTTAGTAATTAAATTACTTTCAATACCTAATGATTCATCATGCATATGTTATTTTATCCGTAATTTCCTGTTGATTTGTTTTTAAAAATAATCGTTTTCTCTTACACGTAGGGAAACTTAAGTGAAAGTGAATCGAGTTAAGTAAAGTTAAATTACATTGTAATATAGTAAAGTAAAATTGAATCTAGTTGTGTCGAGTAATAAATGTCGTCGATTCGAATTGAGTTGATCCGAGTAATCGTGTCGAGTGGAGTTGGCGAGATGTTTATTGTCGATTTGATTTTTGATAAAGGGTTAACAGTATGCGTTGAACAAGCATTCCGGAGTGCTGCCAATGAAAAACCTTTGCCCGCGTGCAAAGTTTTTTCTTGTTTTTCCGCAAAATCATAGAGTTATCCATCATCCATTTTGGTCAATTTCGTGCGTAGCTAGTGCCTTGTTCTCTACCACACACAAACTTTGCATAAAAGGCCGTTTCATGCTTGGTGCGAAAGGTATATACGCGGATGTGAATTCTGTGACGTCGGGGCACATTTTTGCGCGCTGCGAATTCGCAAAAGCTGAACACATTTCAACTCGGGCGAATTTCAAAGAGAATGCTTCGTGTCGTCGAGTTCGCGTGGCATAGGCATAAAGCCCGGTTCATATTTCACGCGAATGCGAATGTGAAGCGAATTTGACGTCACGAAGCATTCGCTGCAAAATTCACCCGAGTTGAAATATGTTCAACTTTTACGAATTCGCAGCGCGAATACTTGCCACGAAGTCACAAATTCGCGTTCGCTTTCGCTTTCGCGCCGAGTATGAACCGGGCTTGAGGTGTGAACCAGCCTTTTATACGTCGGTGATTTATATTCTTAAAAGCCCAAGACACCAGATGAACATGCGATGAGGGCGCTCTCTTTCGATCCTGCTGGAACCGGGGGAAAAATCATCGTCGCCTGCCTGGCTCGGCACGGTTTCACAATGCCTGGCATGATAGCGTGGCGTTAATAAAGTAAAGATATAATAAATAGAGGTTATAACTAACTGCGTGTCACGTATGAATTATACAGAAACGGTCGGAGGATATAGGCTCTTGAAAATGCTGCTGCCATTCAAAAAGGGAGCAATGGATGATGGTTCTGCGATGGGTTGATGATTACCAATATATGAGGCGCCCTTCACTGACAGCGAACGTATCTCCACGGTAACTATTTGTCAGACGGATCTGCGTTCGATAATTAATACTGCGGTTTTCTATTTATTTTGCGTTGAAATTAGCTCATTTTAATAAAACTGTCGACAGCTTGATTGACATGTAATTGCAGAGTGACGTGTTGTAATAAAGAATCCTCCTCTCCCTATCTAGGAGAATAATAAACGAGCATGCATAGGACATCAACAATCAAGTGCGGCTTCAGTCAGCGGCGTATCCGGTGTTTGTAGTTGGGGGAGCAAACCAAAAGTCTCAGTCAGCATTTGATGTCGGGGGAGGGTGCCAAGTCAAAAGCCTATCCCTACATCCCTTGGGGTTTCGCTTTTATTTCATTGTGTTGTTTTCGTTTTTGTGGTAATACATGTATTTGATTAATGGCTATACCTATTACACTCTTTCGTTCTACTCACCGATGAAATACTTTTAGCACTAAGACATTCTAACCTGTTTGTGTTTAGTCAAAAGCCTTCCTCCACTTGCCCTCTGTTGCATATGTGCTGTCATTGTAAAACAAAAATGGCTTGGTGTTCTTTATTTGTCGTTAGACCTCTCTGTACCATTTATGGAAATAACACCACCAACACCACCAACACCACCAACACCACCAACACCACCAACACCACCAACACCACCAACACCACCAACACCACCAACACCACCACCAACACCAACACCACCACCAACACCAACAACAGGAAGTTGTCGCCGGGGAGGGGATTGCCCCCCGCCCGCCCCGCCCCGCCACTGGCTTCAGTATGGTATCGACGACTCTATATTGCTTACTCGATTCTATTGAGACAATAATATTGGATGGCTTTGAGGGGGATACAATACATTTTGCACAAGCCATTACAATATTGCACGAGACGAAGACGAGTGCAATATTGTTATAGCGAGTGCAATATATTCTAGATCTTGAACCCCCGAAAAAAGCCATCCAACATTAGTATTACTATTTTTTTTACACTGACTATTAAACTGAAATATTATTTATATTAGACTGACTAGTTTGATCCGCAAGAAATAAATTTCAGGATACTGCCTATATTTCTCAAATTTCGTCAAACTATCGCGCCGCTCGAAGCTGCCGTTGTGGCTGTTGACAACAGCGCCCGTATATCCTGCTAGTGCTGCACGCTGCGTCTGCGTGCCGCGCTACGCTCTGTTGACTGTGACTCTCTACGCTCTAGATTGTGCGGGAACCAGCGAAAATGACTGCAATATCAATAAAATTGGCAGTCATCCTGGTACTTTAGTGACATAATATTGCAGTCATCCGGGTATACTTTTTACGAAAGCATACAATACACTGATTTAATTTTACCACTGGAAGCCTGATATAGATAATAATCATATTTATTGATATATTACTATTTGTTTACAGTACATTAATGTGCTATTTTGGTACTAAAATGTAGATTTATTAGGCATATAGAGACAGTCTCGGAACACACACACAGGAATTTATAGTTTACCAACATTTCATGCCGAAACCGTGGAGCATCTACTCCCAAAAATTTAAATTTACACAAAATGTGCTCGTCTTCATGATAAACACAATATATTGCTTGATGCGACGAAGTATGATTAAAACTGCTTGTCAAATACTCCCTTCCCGCGGGGTTTAATGCCTTTTCTACCGTAAAATGAAGGGAATAATAGTGAACGTTGGAACATGGTTTAAAGGAACATGGTTTAAAGAAACACGATCGGCCAGATTGCGCCCTTGTAGGCTCTATATGCATTGCCTACGAATATAGATCATTGAAAAGTACATTTAAGCGCTCACACAACTATATACCTGGCCAAATTGCAGATTTCGTTAAAACATCATACAAAGAAATTTCTAGGTACAAAATTTTGGTCCGCCAAAATCGAGCTGCGCCAAGGCTTGTCTTGATTCAAGTCACACGTGTTTCTTTCCGGGAATCGTTGCTTAAAAAGCACATAGCCTACCTCATTACTGTGGGACCTGATTTCCTACAGTGAACTGTCGCTTGCTTGATATGCATTATATGCGGTTTGAAGTCTGAAGTTGAAAGCTGTGGCACATAATTTGAACGCTATAACTCCTGCTGGAAATACATATAAGGCAGAACAGCTCAGATTGAACAAACATATAGTGTTTCAACATTTTCTCCGTGAGTGTAAGACATTATGTGGATTTCTTATAACCCAGACATTTTATGTGCTTATTAAACCACAAAAAAGGCAATACAAATCAGCGATCTCCGAACGAACGTGAACCTTAAATGGGTTGTTTTTATTTTTCCGGTCGACGAAAATCTTACTGCACGTGACAGCGGTTTATTGGTAACTAAAAACCGTAATGTCATTGCAACAGTTGAGTCAAATGGATCACCGTTCTCAATACGCTCGCTTTCTGTTGTTTTATTACACCACACAGACGACCGCTGTAATTGAAGACCGGTCTGCCTAAATGGCTCATGAAAAATCACAGAATGATAATGACCGTTTATCGAGGCTTCTCCTATCTCGATCTCGCATACAAAAGACGAGTCGTACATCGACGAGCCATGCGGAGATATCTCACTTGTCTTGAAACTGTCATTGCTGAAACAAAAAACAGCCTAAAACACTGTTAAAATTTCAAAATTCGGGACTAAAATGTCCGTGAAAGCGTCTGTTTAGTTGACCGAAAACGTAAGCTATCTTACGAAGATAGGTCGTTCACTGCGAATTCCATCCTTATTATAACATTTCCATGCAAAAAATGACAATGAACATTTATCTGTCCTGCGTCTACCATTTTAAAACTTATTTCATGGCATAATGTGTCATGTTAGATGTTCAGTATGATGCTTGTTTCTTCATGTTTATTTTACATGTTCTATTTTTATTCTATCATTTTTTACTCCGAGTGGAGTTAAGTCGGTGAGGAGTTGATTGCTACTATTGATTGACAACGGATATAAATGATTCCACGGAGGGAACTTTAGACTGTCGACTTCAAAACACTCTGTGCCCGCCTAGCTGGCTACACAGGGGCTGAAAGTCAAATCCTGCTAAAAGATAACCTGCACTTAAAATTACAAATGCACCTTGCTGCTGTAAGCACGGCAGTGGGAAATTGGGTTTCGTTGTCAATCAAAACTGCCAGTTAATTACTGGTCTTTTACAGGAGCGCCATGACAATGGCTTTTTAAATTAAAATTGAAGGATTAATGGTGAGGTTCAACAGTGGGTTAATGTTTACAAGGTGTAGGCCTACCCCGATGCATGACGATAAGGATCAGCAGAACGGCTGATAAGAATCACAGCAGTCTTATCAGACATTGGGAAACAACCTATACACATTCTCACCCCTCATCAAAAAGTGTGCGACCATGTCTTCAGGTGAGCAGGAACAACATTTGCTCGGCATCGACTTTGGAAACGGCACAAACTATGAACGGTTTCCGAAGCCTGTCATCAGCCCTCTACTGGATGCAGTCAACACAATCATCGCCTGCCTTGCTGTGCTTGGTAACGGTATGGTCATCACCGTTATGCTGCTCAGGCGACGGGTGTTCAGCTCCTTCACAAATCGCCTCATCCTGCACCAGTCCATTATTGACGCGATTGCTGTGATCATGTTCTTCTTGCACCATGTCGTTATCAAGAGTCCACACGTTTCAGTGTCCATGAAGGAAAACATAAATGACCATCTTGTGTGTCGCTTCGTGTATTCAGATTTCGCACTTTGGTGCGTCAACGTGACATCCACGTATAACCATGTCGTCATATCACTTGAACGGTTTATGGCCACTTGTTACCCGGTGAAGCATCGCAACACGTTGACCAAAACAAAGTTTAAGATTGTCGTTCCTGCTGTCTGGATAGTAGGCATTATTGACAATGTGCCCTTGTTATTTGTCAATGAACCACACCTAGGCTGTTGTCAAATGGCGAGTCTCCAGTCTGGATGGCTGTATGTTTTATACACATTCCCCATTACAGTCGAGTACTTGGTACCAGTCACCGTCATGATTTTTACCTACACACGGATTCTTATCATGCTAACCAAGAAACTTGCTGATCCAGGGAATGCAGCTCTGAATGTAATAAACAAAGCCAAGAAGGGATCTCATAAGAACTACCCTGATAACAGGCATCACGTTTCTCTTGTGTTGGACACCCATCCAGATCTATTACTTTCAAAACTTGATGGTTCATGATGAGATAAATAAAGAGTTGTTATATAAGATATTTGTCTCACTTGTGGCATGCAGCATGTTGGTCAACCCGATCATTTATTGCATGAAGTACCCACATTTTCGATCACAGTTGAAGGACCTCGTGCTTACACGTTTCCAACGAAACCGAGTGCATATCCAAGATCACGCAGTAATGTTGAGGCCCGCTTAATATCTTTGTCGGTAAATTAATATATGCCGAAAGTTAAAGGGGTTTCCCCCATTACTGTTGTATGTATGTATCTTGTAAAATTGTTTCGTTTAGAGCTTTTTAATTGGTGTCATGTGGACGCCTTGACACCAATTTTGTAATAAATTGGACGTAACGGTGGCGGAAAATTTCAAAATAACTTTGGTCGATTTTTTTCCTTTAACGTGGATAGGACACAATTGTTCACGGAAAAAACTGTGTAAGAAATAACGACATTGTACGAAATACCAATTTGCTATTAACCTATTGTGGCGGAAAGTGTTTATTTATGACGTCATACCATAGCACTAACGCTTAATCACTGTGTGTTAGTGACTGGGCGGAGCTTAGGAGCTGCACGTATGTGACTGGTTAATAATTCCCATAGGTTAAGCGCGCCATATATTTAGTACATGCACATGTTACCCGGGAGGTACTGGAATATAAATGCGGGCCTGGGAGAGCGCGCACTTTTTGGGACTGATTTTTACAGTTGTGGTTTAGGTGATCGTTGTTAGGTGAGATACTAGCTAGTTGTTGAGTGTCTAGTTTTGGGCTCAGCTGTTTTAGGTGTTTAGTGCCTGGAGTCTGGAGATAGCGGGCTAGGGCATAGCTGCGACAGCAGGCAGAGAAGTAGGTAAATTACTTGTACCCTGCGTATGTGTAATTGCTTAGGCGATTTGTGTACAAAGTCTGTGTATAGCTGTATTCTGGCTTACGCACACGGCGTGGCGGGTACCCTGCTAAAGGCTGTTGTGCGCTTATGACGCTGTGTAACTGGCGCTGTGCATAGTTGTTCATTGCTGCCATTGTTGTCTAGTTATTAATTCTGCGTGCGTTGTTGCATAGGCGAGCAGCGGGCTATCTCCAGTAATTAAAGAAAGATTCTGTTATTAAAACAACCCTCCCAATCACATCCTAATTAATGTACCTGCTGATTATTGTTGAATAAATTATGATTGTTGTTGTTTGAGATTACCGACAATTCTGCTTCTGGTGTTTATGTTTACAGGTATATTGTGCAATTAATTAACAGATATAAATAATTAACACTCATTCACAATGGAGTGGTAGATTTGCACCAAAACGGACCTGCACCCTTAGCCTTGAAGGTTGCTCTGAGTGATTTCTTGTCTAGGGAAGAGCCATGGTTTTGGGAAGATTGTATACACCACAGTAGGAGTCAGACTTATCCTAACAGACTTAGGTTGGCCCGGGGGGGAGGGGGGGGGGGTGTCCCACCACACTATCAAGACCACAAGCACAACGTGCTATATGGAGCTTCTATAAATAACGCTTCTGTTGTTGGGAATCAAATTGTCATCATTTTAACGAATAAATATGAAAAAATACTATTTTGTTCGATTTCGATTTTGTTTTAACTATTTTGCTTTAAAACATTTACTTATTACCATCAATAATTTCCAAATTACATTAATGATGCAAGGGGCAGAAATCTCAATAATTTTGCCACTTATCTTTGTTAAATTATCAGACTCGCGCCCCTTCTATATGGAAAAGCACATTGAACAGAAAGGGTCAGAATGTAAGAAACTTGAATTTTCGTTTGCACGAAGAGACAAAAATCTTTGCTAATCAATTTTCACTAATTAACTACAGTATTAATTCTAATTATTGGGTTCACGTAAGAATTCAGCTCTCATAGAATCGTGTGAAAGTTTCCTTACTGCACAAAGTTGTTGCAAAGTAGGATTTATGCAATTTTAAAATAGGTGAAACTTCGTGTGCGACTAATTCGTAAACGTTTTTTTTCTTCAAAATCTTGGCTCTTCTTGAAAACTTTGACGCAATTTGATGACTTTTCGTCATACAAACGCTACACACGGGACAGACTTTGCTTGAAGATATGCATTGTCTCTTTGCCCAAACATGTCAAGTATCAGATTTCAGTCACATGAATAGTTCCAATGCATGCAATTAATAAAAAAAAGGACCGCTAATATTGTGCGGAAAGTTGCTTTTCAGACTCGCCTCTTCTGCAAATTTTCCTTTGTTTCAGGGTAATTTCTAGACAGTTCCCTTTTTGTTACGAAATTCAAAGCGTTTAAAACATTATCATATTAGGTATAACTGTGGTTAAAAGATAATACATTTTGGAACAAAGTAATGACAAGGGACTATTTTGCTAAACAAAATGGGTAAAGCGCCCTCTGGCAGCCCTCCGTGAATATTTCAATGGGGTAAGATCGACCATAACATTCTTTTATGGAATTTGAAAGCATTTAAATAAAATGTATCAAATGGTTCTGTCATGAGCAAAACAATGATGTTCAAAAATAATATTGAATGCATCTCAGCGCAACCAAATGAATGCGAATTTTTCAAAGTCTGTAGGTTGTAAAAGCCGGAGCAATATTGATTAAGGAATCAATTTTACATCGCTTGTGCTTAAATTCGTATTTTAAAAAGAGAAACAAAACGTGGATAAAGCTCGACTCCCCAAAAAGGCGCAGTAAAGATTTCGTCTACTCCCCGCTCTCTGAAGGGTTGTACACCGCATTCTTAACGAAGGCACGAGCACATACAGGCAGTCGGCCTTGCTTTCCGAATACACCGTGAGAACCACAATCTAGCAGGATTCAAGTCGGGCCACGTTTCAAACCTCCGCATCTCGACGTATTGACGAACTTCACTTGCCTCGCATTGGTGGTAGGAGGCAAGTGGGAAATAATTTGATTCTAAACTTCAAATTGAATTACACGCTTACAAAACGCGAGGCCGTACGTGGTTTGATTGAACACGCCAACTCGTAGCTAGTGTTTATGGGTGAAGGGCAACAAATTAGTCGACCTCGAAATTCAATTATATCTCAGCGGTGACGGGCAGATTTCTTTGAATTGCAAAAAGGGTTAAATTGAAGTGTTTCGAGTTTGGCTTTGTAGCGATGTGTCTTATTAAATTACAGCGTTTAGGTGGAGTGGTATGAAATCAAACAAAACTTGACTTGTGTCTTGGGGTAAATCCGAGAGGAAAGTTGATTGAATTTGTAGCTGAGGATTGGTACACACTTACTGAAACACTTTGGAATATGAAGTCTGAGTCGAAGATGCGGACTGCATACTGACGCCGCGTTTGAGAAGACTGGTGCTGACGGAAAACTGTCTTCAGACTGGCAAAGAGAAGTCTTGACGGATTTCGACAGCACTACACTTTGGGATATGAAGCTTGAACCACAGATGCGGACCACACACTGATGGCTTAGATCCTTAGAAACCAAAACCACATTTTCAGAAATTTTTACAAACGAAACATGTCTTCAGACTACCAGAAAGGAATCATGATGGATTTCAACAATGCTACCAACAACTACTTGATACAGAACCCACTTACCCCACAACTTGTTGCAGTCTTCACAATCATCGCCTGCTTGGCTGTGCTTGGTAACGGCTTGGTCATCACCGTTATGCTGCTCAGACGACGAGTGTTCAGCTCCTTCACAAATCGCCTCATCCTGCACCAGTCAGCCATTGACTGTGTTACCGGAGTTGTGTTTTTCGTGTGGCGGGTTGTTTTACAGATCATCCAAAAACCAGTGTTCTTTGAGGGTAATATAATATATGCCCAGTTAATCTGTCGGTTCATTACCGTTGATTATTTCGTGTGGTGTATGAATGTGACATCCACCTACAACCTTGTCATCATATCGCTGGAGCGGTTTATGGCGACTTGCCACCCGGTGAAGCATCGCAATACTTGGACCTCTGTCAAGCTGAAGTTTGCCATGGGAACTGCCTGGGCCATTGGCTTTATGTACGGTTCGCATTTCGCATTTCTGTTTGAAGTTAATGAAGGTCATTGTCAACCTACGGAATTGGAAACTAGTTTGAAGGTTTTCGAAATTTCAGCGACGATTACTATCGAATACCTGGTTCCCACTACCATATTGATCTATACATACAGTCGGATATTCATGAAGCTCACCAAGAAATCTGCTAATCCAGTGCACGGTGCTCGGAATACCACGAATAAAGCAAAGAAAAACGTTCTTGTTACGACAATGCTGATAGGCATAATGTTTGTGTTGTGCTGGACACCGATAGAAGTGGTGTACCTGTATCAACAACTTTCAGGAGATTGGAGCACTCCGTTGTACGATATCTTTACCAGTCTGGTGGCCTGCAACATGCTCGTCAACCCGGTTATTTACTGCTTCAAGTACGAGAAATTTCGCTCAGAGCTGAGAAAACTAGTACTCAAGCGGTGTCGTAGAAATCAAGTCGAAGATGAGAACACCATTTCAATGTCAGCTGCTTCCTCACGAATGAACACAAATCTAATGCAAAATGGTCAATCATCTTAAGCAGAGTGTTGCATTTACATCAGAACTTTCCTTCCAAACTGGCGTTTCTGAGTCGCACCGAACCAACGACGTACAAGAGCAAAGCATGTGGGCCAAACTATAATTGTGTTACTTACAGACCAATGTTTTGTTGTTTCACTAAATTTTTCATTTGATTGGAGTTCTGAGATCGGTTTGAACCGACAACTTTGAAAGAGATTTCACATGTAGATGCTCTTTATTGTGTTTTGGACGTCAAACATAATTAAACTTTTCTGAATATTAATTAACTATGTAACTCCAGCGAGTATGGGAAAGAGTGAATCTGAGTTTGTTGTTGTTGTTGTTATTGTTGATGTGTTTTCATTGTACCTTGAAAGTACAAACTCATATAATGCATCATTCGATCAACAAAACTGAAAGAATAATCGTTTGAACTCGAAAATGTAGTTGATATCATAGAATGACATATTCCAATGTCAATTGGAATATATTGATTAAAATGTAGTTGATACCATAGAATGATATATTCCAATGTCAATTCCACTGGTAAGGAATGTGGGTTGGACTTCAGCGCGAAGTCCCAGTGCGGGACCAAAAGTTCGTTGCAACAAAAGGGGGACTATACACAGGACGATCGCGGGCCATTGGCTTAATTGACATGAAGTTGATTTGCTTTAACTTTAAACAATATACGAATTCTTAACAACCGTGAGAACCACAATCTAGCAGGATTCAAGTCGGGCCACGTTTCAAACCTCCGCATCTCGACGCATTGACGAACTTTACTTGCCTCGTACTGGTGGTAGGAAGCAAGTGGGAAATAATTTGATTCTAAACCTCGAATTGAATTACACACCCACCAATGCGAGGCCGTGGTTTGATTGAACACGCCAACTCGTAACTAGTGTTTGTGAGTAAAGGGCAACAAATTAGTTGACCTCGAAATTCAATTATATCTGAGTAGTGAGGGCAGATTTCTTTGAATTGCAAAAGGGTTAAGTTGAAGTGTTTCGAGTTACGTTTTGTAGCCAAATGTGACTTATTAAATTATAGCCTTTGGGTGAAGTGGCATGCAATCAAAAAGAAGACGTGTGCCCTTGGGAAAATCCAATTGGAACGTTGCTTGAATTCGAAGCTGGTGATTGGTACACACTCGCTGAAACACCTTGGTATACATAAAGTCTGAATCGCAGATGCGGACCGCACACTGATGGCTCAGTTCCTTAGAAACAAACACCGCATTTTAGAAGATTGGTGCCGACGAAAACCGGTCTTCAGGCTAGCCAAAAGTAATTTTGACGGATTTTGGCAGCAATATGCTTAGGATATGAAATCTGAACCACAGATGCGGACCACACACTGATGGCTTAAGTCATTAGAAACAAAACAAACACCACATCTTCAGAAAACCTTTGCAAACGAAATATGTCTTCAGACTAGCCAAAAGGAATCATGACGGATTTCGACAATACTACCAAAAGCTACTGGATACAGACTCCGCTTAGACCTCAACTTGTTGCAGTCTACACAATCATAGCCTGCCTGGCTGTGCTTGGTAACGGCATGGTCATCACCGTCATGCTGCTTAGGCGACGAGTGTTCCGCTCCTTCACAAATCGTCTCATCCTGCATCAGTCAGTCATCGACTGTGTTACCGGAGTTGTGTTTTTCGTGTGGCGGGTAGTTTTACAGATCATCCAAAAACCAGTGTTCTTCGAGGGTAATATAATATATGCCCAGTTAATCTGTCGGTTCATTACCGTAGATTTTTTCGTGTGGTGTATGAATGTGACATCCACCTACAACCTTGTCATCATATCGCTGGAGCGGTTTATGGCGACTTGCCACCCGGTAAAGCATCGCAATACTTGGACCTCAGTAAAGCTGAAGTTTGCCATGGGAACTGCCTGGGCCATTGGCTTCATATACGGTTCTCAATTTGTATTTATGTTTGAAGTTAATGAAGGATATTGTCGACCTGCGCAGTTGGAAACTGGTTTTAAGGTTTTCCATGCCTTAGCAGGAATTACTTTTGAATACTTGGTTCCCGTTATCATTTTGATCTATACATACAGCCGAATAATCATCACGCTTACCAAGAAATCTGCTAATCCAATGAATGGTGCTCGGAATACCACGAATAAAGCAAAGAAAAACGTTCTTGTTACGACAATGCTGATAGGCATAATGTTTGTGTTGTGCTGGACACCAACAGAAGTGTTGGCCGTGTATATACAACTCTCGGATGATTGGAAAACTCCGTTGTACGATATCTTTACTAGCCTAGTGGCGTGCAACATGCTCGTCAATCCGGTCATTTACTGCTTCAAGTACGAGAAATTTCGCTCAGAGCTGAGTAAACTAGTACTCGAGCGGTGTCGTAGAAATCGAGTGGAGGATGGGAACACCATTTCAATGTCAGCTGCTTCCTCACGAATGAATACAAATCGAATGCATGTTGGTGAATCATCTTGAGCGGAGTGTTGCATTTACGTCGGACACTTTCCGTCCAAACTGGCGTTTCTGAGTCGCACCGAACCAACGACGTATAAGAGCACAGCAAGTCGGCCAAACTATAATTTTGTTATGGACTGGCCAATATTTTGTTGTTAAACTAAATATTGTCCATTTGACTGCAGTTCTCAGATCGCTTTTAACCTACAACATTCAACGAGATTTCACATGTGCTTTGTAGATGCTTTCATTTGTGTTTTGGACGTCAAACATAACTCAACTTTTCTGAATATTAATTAAGTACGACACGACTCTGAAACGCCAGCGGGTATGGAGAAAAGTGAATCTGAGCTTGTTGTTGTTGTTGTCGTTGTTGTTGTTGCTGTTGTTGTATTTTCATTATACCTTGAAAGTTCAAGCTCATTATGATGCATCATTTGATCAACAAAACTTAAAGAAAAATCGTTTCAATTCGAAAATGTAGTTAATATCATAGAATCCATAAAATGTACCGCAAATCAATTATAGCATTACTATATCTAATAATAAGTGGGAAAAAAGGACAAAATGACGAAAAGCATTTGTTTTCTAACAAAGCGGATACAGCGCCGGCCCTCTAGCGTCCTCTTAAAGGTTACTGCATTAATTGGAAATTGACCATAATGATTGTATCAAATTTCAGAAAAGTTGTTTTTCACCCCAAAAAGGGGGCAACAATACAATTTGCAGCTAAAAAAATGACAGTATATTACAGTATCTTGGTAACCCAACATTCCTGCTAAATTTGAGGAAGATCGGCCAACGCACAGGCCTATTGATATTATGACGGTACCACATTTTATAAGGCATGCCGGATGGTTTAGGAACCGTATGCAAGTGACACGATCGGTTTGTTTTTATCAGGGTCTCTTCTCTGATTCATGGCTATTCATGCAGCAACATATCATATAACATTTGAATCATCAAAGTGTCTGTGTGGCTTCAAGGGAGGCAGGGCTCTGTTCAATTAAAACATCCAAATACCTCCGCCGCATAGATCATCCTTCTTTTTGAGATTATCAACCAGTATCATATTTGTTTTATAAATACCTGTTGCAGTGAAGGTTTTCCTATTGGTTGAGAGCCCGTCACGTGGGTGATCTGAGAAGTGTGTAAAGTTGGCCAGTAATCAATATGTCCCCTGGCTTACAATATGTCCTGCTTTCGATTTTGTATTGTTTTTTTATTTCAGCAAAAAGATAATTAAAAAAAAGAAATATTTTAGGATTCAGGAATAAATTTACATATTTTGTGCTCAAATTCGTAGTAACATTTTTTCTCCTGCTCGCGGATCGCTCGCTCCCACAACATATCACATGAATGCATGCCGGCCTGCGACATTTTTGTCCCCAAACGAAGTTGGACAATATCAAAAGAGGGCGCGCTCTCTCTTCGTTATGCATGCATATTCATGATGTCCAAGGCTTTAGAGAATACGTTATTTAAGAAGGAATAATGGTGTTTAAATCATAGGCGGCTTGCAGCTTATTCGTGGACTGATTGGAAGTAGTCCTGACTTCTAGTCAGTTGATCCGAGATCCCAGTGAACATTGTTCACGTATTCTCATTTTACTTTCAAACAACTAAAGTGAGGAAGGAACATTTCTCACAAGACGTAAAGCCTATCTTGGGTTTGTGTTGAGAACAAGGCATTAGATATGCATGTACTCGACCAATCAGAAGATAAGAAGCGGACGTCGTTTGGGGGAAAAAATCGCTGCCGGCCTACGCTGCTGGTGCGATGGACCATGCTCCAAATATCAGCATCTAGACGCATTGCCAAACTGTATTTGCCCTGTACCATTGGTACGAGTAGGAAATTGGTATGTACATAAACGTGATTATGCTTTTTTCTTTCGATACCGTGCTAAAGTTGCTTTTAAAATGGCTATGCACTTGTTTTTTTCCCCCGGAAGCACGAAAACAACAAACGTTTTAGTTCATCCTGCCTTACGTCCCCCCCCCTTGTCGGTTAAGGCATGCCTGAAAAATAAGGGACTTTAAAGTTTAACAAAATCCGCAAAGTTTTTCCTTTAATGCCGTCAGTTTTTTATCGGAAGTGGAGAAATCACATTTTAAATTTCCGACCACCATATACAAATTGCAATATAATTTTGTAAAAGTTTCGATTTTTAAAAACACTTTTTAAGGATTTTCGCAAAGAAGTGGCTCGGGTCCTGCCATTATAATCGATCAGGCGCTAACCAGACGTTATATCTGCTCCACCACACTACTACTCCCTTATCTAATGACATGCCCCAGGACGCCATAACAGTCAGTAGGCTGTTATTTCTATATGCAGATTTTTGTCTTCGAGGACTTTCATTTTACTTGTTTATTTTTATTCTGCAACTTCTCAAAATAAGGAAATTGTTTGATTCCAACTTAGTGCTGCGCAAAACTGTCCTGATACAGAAACCGACCCGACAGAAAACTGACTTCGGGTCGGGTCGGGTTGGGTCGGTTTAGCCAGTGTGGAAAAAACCATGAAATCAACCGAAATAAACCGAAAAAAAAACACAGAAACAGTTCGGAAATTCACACATCTCATTATTTCTTGCCGAGTCACTGTGTGCCGGGGCGATCAATTGGTTTTCTGCATACCAGGCACAGTCTATGTAGGCCCGCTCACCAGTAGGTCACGTTGTGAGTGCCGTACGGTATGATTCAATTGCTGAAAAAATTACACGCGAGGTAAGGCGGGTGTTAGTTCAGGCGCAAAAAAAGCGGATACAGTTGCCCAAAACAGATATTCCGTATATTTTTACGGGTCGGTTTCCTTGAATGTTTGTCAGGTCGTGTCGGGTCGGTTTAGGGAGATCAGATCAGTTTCGGTTCGGATTTGGTTTATTTCTATTATGCTTCAGGTCGGTTTGGCCTGGTCAACTCGACCCGATGCACAATGCTATTCCAAATCTCGAACAATCAAATCACACGCTTAAAATGCGAGGCTGCGATTTGATTGAAAACTCGTCACTAGTAATCGTCAGCAAAGAGCAAAACATTTGGTGACCTCGAAATTCGATTCTATCTCAGCGGTGACGAGCAGTTTTCTTTAAACTGTACAACGGTAGAAATACAAATTTTCCAATTGCTTTGTAGGCATGTTTCTTATTAAATTACAGCGATTGGGCGAAGTTGCATGCAATCATAAAGAAGACGGTTGTCTTTGGGTGATTAAATCACAGTGGAACATTGATTGAATTTGTGGCTGTGGATTGGTACTCACTCACTGAAACACATTGGTATAAGAAGTCTGAACCAAAGATGTGGACCACACTAATGCATAAAGTAGATACCTCACGTTTTCATATATATAGAAGATGGGTGTCTTTGTCTCACCAAATCGGAGTGGAACGTTGATTGAATTCATAGCTGAGGATTGGTACACACTCACACAAACACGTTGAGAAGTGAAATCTGAACCACAGATGCGCACCACACACTGACGGTGTATGCTCTTAAAGAAATAGACACCGCATTTCAGAAAACGGGTGCCGAGAAATCATGTCTTCAGACTACCTGAAAGGAATCTCAATGGATTTGGACAACACAACCAACAACGACTCGACACAAAATCTGATTGACCCTCAACTTGCTGCAGTGTACACACTCATCGCCTGCTTGGCTGTGCTCGGTAACGGCATGGTCATCACCGTTATGCTGCTCAGACGACGTGTGTTCAGCTCCTTCACAAATCGTCTCATCTTGCATCAGTCAATCATCGACTGTGTTGCTGGCGTTGTGTTTTTCTTTTGGCAGGTAGTGTTGCGGATCAACCCAAAACGAGTGTTCATCGATGGTGATATATCCGACCAATTAACTTGTCGGTTCATTAACTTTGGTATTATCATATGGTGTATGAATGTGACATCCACCTACAACCTCGTCATGATATCGCTGGAGCGGTTTATGGCGACTTGCCGCCCGGTGAAACATCGAAATATTTGGTCCTCTGTCAAGCTGAAGTTTGTCATGGGAACTGCCTGGGCTATTGGTTTCATATACGGTTCTCATTTTGTATTTATTTTGGAAGTTAAAGACGGACAATGTCAACCTACGGAATTGCAAACTGGTTTGAAGGTTTTCGAAACGTTGGCGGTAATTACTATCGAATACTTTGTTCCCATTACCATTTTGATCTACACATACAGCCGAATATTCATCAAGCTTACCAAGAAATCTTCTAATCCAATGAACGGTGCTCGATATGTCACAAATAAAACCAAGAAAAACGTTCTCGTTACGACAATGCTAATAGGCATAATGTTTGTGTTGTGCTGGTCACCAATAGAAGTGGTGTACCTGTATCAACAACTTTCAGGAGATTGGAGCACTCCTTTGTACGATATCTCTACCAGTCTGGTGGCCTGCAACATGCTCATAAACCCGGTCATTTACTACTTCAAGTACGAGAAATTTCGCTCAGAGCTGAAAAAACTAGTACTCAAACGGTGTCGCAGAAATCGAGTGGAGGATGGGAATACCATTTCAATGACAGCTGCTTCCTCACGAATGAACACAAATGTAATGCATGTTGTTCAAACATCTTAAGCGGAGTGTAGCATTTACATCGGACCCTTTCATTCAAAACAGGCGTTTCAGAGTCGCACCAAAACCAAAGATGTATTTTAATAGAGCAATCAAAGTCGACCAAAATATTACTAAACTAAACGAAGACACGAACACACAAACGGTGGTTGTTATTGTTAGGATTATTCCCTATATTCGTGTCCAATAGTCTACAACTATTTATTTCCTCAACAACAGAAGAACCACACTAAACACAATAAGCTTTTTCTTCAGTATATCTGTTCTATCTAATGCATGTTGGTGAATAATCTTAAGCAGAGTGTTGCATTTACATCAGAATTTTCCTTCCAAACTGGCGTTTCTGAGTCGCACCGAACCCACGACGTACAAGAGCAAAGCAAGTAGGCCAAACTATAATTGTGTTACTGACAGACCAATGTTTTGTTGTT